AAACCGGATTAATTGAGAGTTGTTGGTATTTCTCGTGAATGTCTCTCGACTTGATTTCCCACAGTCAAACTGAAGAATAAATAAATATTTCTCGGAAATGGATTCTGTTTTTTCTGACACCGTGATGAATCTAAAAGGCAAAAGCAAATAAACATAAAATGCTGGGTTGTAAAAATAACTTCATTTGATTGATGGTTTTTATTGATGATGTTTTCCTTACTATCTGAGGACATTATGCCTTTGCTGTGTGAAATGCTAAACTAAAGTTTCATCTGTCAGGATTGTTAGCCATTATTTGCTGCCTTTGTGAAACACACGGAAGCACGTTAATGAAATGAGACAAAAAAAGGAAATAAAGGCCATAAATTGAGGCAGAGCTGAATTAAAACTGTCAGGAAATAATTAGGAAAACACCATAATTCCTCCAAATGGGGGCCAAAGTTGAATAGACAGCATCCAAACACGTGTGAAATGAAAATAACTGATTTTGGGAGTATATCGCTGCCAAATATCAAAGGTCACGAGACTCGGCGGGGCCTTCGCTCGCGTCCTCTTCGCTTAGTCAGCAAAGGGAACCGGCGTCATTATCCCACAAGAAACGACATGAAAAATGGGTTTGAGATGGACAAACAGGGCAGAGATGTAGTGCAGAGAAAAGGGTGACCCCTTCCGCAGATAAACAAATAACTAAATAAATCCTGGGGACACTGGGGGTGAGGGAAGCTTCCCCGGAGGGGTCAGAGCAGGAACAGATAAATCTCCCTTAAAGACGCCAATGCCTCTCCACAGTTAACCTCTTAATCAACCCCAACCGGCCAAAGGAAATAACGCTGACTTTCGAAAACTATCATCTGTGTCTCTGCAGTAAGTAAACACCCTCGCACGTACACACTGTAAACCCAGTGCCGTGTGTGTGTGTGTGTGTGTGTGTGTGTGTGTGTGCGATATTCAGGCGCTAACAGTTTTGTTACGCGCCACTCACTTATTCACACGGTGTCTTTTTCGACAGACTCCAGCAACACATTTCATCGTGAACTCGAGTTTGCTTCCCCCTCGTCCATCCATCAGCGAGCCCCTCCAGAGCCGAGCGTCGGCGATTAACCTCCCCGTGAGCACGAGTGGCGTCCAGATACTATCTGCCCACAGGTCACGCACCACGCGGGCCTGCGGGACGCAAGGCCTCCTAACAAACATGTCACTCCCAGCTTTGCATTTCTATTTTGGTAGCACGCTCGGGTTGCCTATACCTGCTCCTTTTCCTCAATGGGATCACGTTTGGCGTCGGGCCGAAAGCGGAGCGTTGCATTGTGGGCTCTGGCGTTGTCAGGCCGGCCATAAATTAACAGGCGCACCGGTGGCCGCCCGCATTTCCTATAGGCCATCCGCCGCGGTCATGTTTACCACCCCTTGCCCCCGCACTGACACCTCCTCGTGTCAGAGCTGCGGCCCGCAAAACAGTTGCTCCATCCATCCATCACCTGCAGCGTGGAGCAGGAACTGGCGAGCTATTCTCTGTGCGTTTGTCTAAGGGGCTTTCTGCTGTGACCGTGAGAGGTCGTGACAAGGCGATTCGAGCTAAATCGGTCACGAGGAAGATGCTGAATACATTTTCCCCTCTGTGTTTGAACCCCGTGGATTGTTCGTACGAAGCTACGTGACCGCGTGGGCCTCGACGTGGGGCCGGTTGACCCGTGTGCACCGAGGTTATCATCTGGAATTCCAAATTTGAAAGTGGCTTTTGGAACACAGTAAAATCTTCCACTAAAACCTGTTGGTGGAAAAAAAAACATATTTTTGAACCTCTATTTAAAAAATAGAAGCACTCTGCTCAGTGGAACTGAGTTTGGTTGCTCTGTGTTCTACAAACTGTCCAAGAAGACTGGTCAGAGTCAGAGCTATAGGGGGGGGGGGGGGGGGGGGTATTTAAGGGGACACCTATTCTAGTGAAGTACTTCTAATGCAGGTGCCTGGAATATAAAATCATTAACAAATCGGCCGTAAAGCATATAGTGAGTTTTATACAAATATTTGTTTTTTAAGTAATATTTCGATAGTGTGAAAAGTCATCTGCAAACAAACAACTTTCTATGTGATTGAATGTTAGATCTTTTTCAAGCTTGAATGCAAAACAAGTGTGTTAGTATTTCCATTGTAACGTTCGATTTTGTCTGACAGTTTTACTTTTTAGGTTAAAATGAACATTTATAATTTATCTCCAATCTTTATGATAATATGAAAGATGAAGAGTTTCTTAAAGAGTCTTAAAGATTAAAAAAGAGCTTCTTTTTCTCTGCTCGTGAAAAGTTGACTTTTTATTTACAGGACAGCGAAGCTTATCAGAATATGAGACCTCAGATGTTGATTAAATTACCCAACTAGATAAATATTAGCACAACCCTCAACATATACAGATGTGACATAATTTAGCACCGATATTAATTCAATAATTCATAGTAAATCAATACGTTGACCATTTTACTATGCAATTACTGCACCATTAATGAAACTACAAACATTTAGCTGACACTTTTGCTTAAGTAAATAAAGGATTTAACTTCTTCGGTGAAAAATTCCAATACTAAATTTTTAATTCTGTCATGTGGCTCCACATTGGTCCAATATTAAATACATGTAATTAAATTAGTTTAATTTTTTTAATGTAATATCTCAAAGAAGGAGAGTGACACAGGCACGCGGTGCGTATTGTCTTTATTTAGCGCTTAATGTGTGGACATCACGTACATTACTAAACCTGTGGCCGATCCTCATTTAATTACCCCCCTTCTGGTCGACTTCATCATAAGCCTCAGCTGTATAGAATTACCCTCTAATTATCAGGCCCCCGGACCCCGAGGTGCCCTTGGACACTGGCCCACAGCCCGTGGAATCTCCTAATAGCGAGTCGCGGGGCTAATTGGGAGACAGGTAAGGTTACATGTGACAGCAATTACGGCTGAGTGCGGGTCCGACCCCGTGGCCTCGGGCGGGCCGGGCGCCGCACTCCGGACCTCTGAGGGAGCTTTTGTCTTTCTTAGCAGCTCTCTTTGGCTTCTCGGACACGTAAAGTTGGAAAATAACAGTTCTGCTTTTTTTTTTCTTTTTTTTTTTCCTTCGGAGCGGCGGGATTGTGGATGTAAATTAATTCTGCTGCTCTTGTTGCGCTCTGGTCACACGAGCCGACACACGAGTGTTTCACTCTAACACCCCCCCCCGTTTATTTACTTATGTTATTGTTATTATTATCACACGTGTGAGTGTGGTTAAATGACAAAGAATGCAACGCGCTGAGTAAGTGTGATGGAGTTGGTTCATCGGGAACATTTATTTCCAAAATATGTTCGACGTACAAGGAATTCTACTTTGAACAGACAATAAGACAATGGACAACAAGACGGATAAGAACAATCGCCCTGCTCACATGTCATGAATAGATGAATAAATGGATTCATTCGACACTTTATTTTGCAGGATTTTTTACATAATAAATTAAATGAAGGACTACCGTCGGGGCCTGTAAGTATTCTTCTGTTCCTGCAGTTAGACAGCAACTTGCATAACGTGAGGAATCGTATGTGGCTCTATTAAGGGCCACGTTTGGTGGAGTGAGTTTATTTTTAGTCCTGTTAAATTGTCTGTGGAGATGAACTTTAAAGCGGAGTCACTGATCTCGCTTGCACGTCCTTTTTTAAAGTACTTTTAATTCAGCGCCTGCAGAGGAATCAGTCGGATGCGTGGATATTTATTCTCGAGAGGGGAAGTGTGAGAGCGTGTCCAAACACATTATCACTTTACCATCCTCGGTCTGCATGTACCCCCCCCCCCCCCCCCCAGCTTCCAGCCTCCAGCCCCCCGACAGCGGTGTGGTCGGAATTACCTTCATGTGACAAATCAAGACTCAATCTGGGGAAATAATCAGGTACCCGCTGCTCTCGGCGTGGAAACCCCCCCCCATTAGAGAACAACACTGCCACTGTTAATTACCGCACTGGCCTTTTGTGCGCATGGCAGGGACACAACAAACCCACAGGATCAACACTTTCCCGACTGGCAAACGATTTAGGGAGTGTTTTATGGCTCGGTGAGAAGTTTGGCACGTTTTGTTGTGGAGCTCCGAGGGGTTCAGCTCGTTCGAGGCAGTCGAACCTCCAATGTGTAAAAGTTGTTTTTTGAAGATTTGCATGAAATGGTGTTGATCACTGCGGATTAGAAGCAGCGGACAGCTGACCAGAGATTGATGACAGGGCAGTGCGCCACATAAAACGGTTGGTAAATTGTGACCTTCGGTCGTGGATCAGAGGGCAGAACAATAAACATTAGATTATCAGAAACAAATATATATCATGTCATGGAATAGTACAATTATGAGAACCAGGCTCTATAGGGGGCGGATGGAGAGATTTATTAAAACAAATAATCAGCTTGGAATAATATTTTCTAACCCTTTTTAGGGTTAGAAAAACTTTATTTAGTTTATAAACTACACATTGTGCCACGATTAGCCTCCAAACCGTCATACATATAGTGAGATTTAAGAGCCACGTCGAGAAAAAAAGAAAACTTTCCGGCCTTCATCATTCTGCAAAGTGAGGGTCAAACATCCAAATCAAGCAACAAAGCGCTGTACACATCGCTGAGGTGGAGGGAACCTGAGGGATTTTAAAATGTGTAAAGTCAGTCTAAGATAGGACGTGTTGATCTAGAATTAGTGTTTTAAAAAGTTAAATTACAATGATTACTAACAGATTTTGTACACAGTCCATGCGCGCATTTTATCCTCAACGGGACACTGATGTGGCCACTTGTACCACAACAACCGCTCCTGTCAGTCAACCGCTTCCCTGAGCGACCGCCGTCCAATCAGAGGGCTCCTCGATCCTTTTAACGGACTCCGGGGGCCAATCGCGGCCGGCCCCGCAGTGTCCCGAAGGGAGGGGAAATCACCTTATTTGGCGGTTATGACCTTATATGGGTCGCCGCCAGGGGGGGGGGGGGGGGCGGCGGCGGCGGCGGTACGAGGCAGCCCCGCTGGTGACACTTTCCCCCAAATCCGCGGCTTCGCTTCTTCGCAGACGACGAGGCGGGACGGTCGGAGGCTGAAGCGACGACACTCGAGCGGCCGAGACGAGCGTCGACGCGCGTTATTAACGGTTCTCCCGCTGAAGCTTCCCGCCCACGCGGACGATCGGCCGACGACGTTTCGAGGGTGCGCGCGTGCTGGGGTCGAAAATCGGAAAGTCGGAACCTCCCGAGCGGCGCGCAAGGACCTCCAGAGGAACGGGTATCGCCTCTCGGGAGGGAGGGAGGGAGAGAGAGAGAGAGACGCGGGAGATTCCTGCGCTTTACTCTCCGGAACGGGAGAAATAAAATCCCACACAGGACAACGTGAAATGCGGTCATCCCGGACGCGCGGTCGGTCTCGCACGAACGAGGCGGGGGGCTGTTGAGCGGCTTGAGAGGCGAGACGTCGCTTGTCCGTCGTGTTCTGCCGTCTTTTTCTTTTTATTCCAGAGGCGAGGAGGAAATCGGAGAAACCGCGTTTCTTGTTTTGTTTTCACGGCTGAATGAACTGGAGGGACTTTTTTTTTTTTTTTTTTTACACTCTGAAGAACAACGTGTTTTATGGATCGCTGCGCAGCGACGGACGCCGGGAGTTGCAGGCTTCGCTCTTACGCGTCGATCATGTTGATACCTCGCTGCTGCTGTGAACTTTGGTAGATGTTCGCAGACAAACCTCCAGAAAGAGACAACGTTCGCCCCGAGTATAAATACGCTCAGATTGACAGCGGAAGTGGGAAGCGCCTTTTTGCCCTCCCTCATTTTTCCTTCCCCGAAGACGTCGGGACGGTCCACTCTGTCTCTCCTTCTGCGGCTCTAACAAAGACCAAAGCGTTTGGGGATAGCATGGCAATGGTAGTAAACCAGTGGCCAGAGAACATTTCTGCAGATCCGGGGTCCCAGCTCCAGATATGTGGCCAGGAGCCAGGCGGGGCCCCGGGGACCCCCAACGGTTCCACCCCGGGGAACGACGCGCTGTCTGGGGACAAGATCCCCAACGTGGACTGCATGGTGTGCGGGGACAAGTCCAGCGGGAAGCATTACGGCCAGTTCACCTGCGAGGGATGCAAGAGCTTCTTTAAGCGCTCGGTGAGGCGGAACCTCTCGTACACCTGCCGGGGGAACCGAGACTGTCCCATCGACCAGCACCACCGGAACCAGTGCCAGTACTGCCGGCTGAAGAAGTGCCTCAAGGTCGGCATGAGAAGAGAGGGTAAGACCATAGGTGTGTTACGAGAGTCCCCGCCAAGTTGTGGCACATTTAGTTAACTGTGTAAACGTATCAAATCTTAACGGAGCATCAATGTCTGGAACTCGGCCGCGAAATAGTTCACGGTCATAAAACGGCGGAGTCTCTCCTCCGCGCTGCTGTCTGTCATCTTAAACGCGGAAGGCAAATTACACGGACACGCGAATTTGGAAGCCGCAGCTTTTCCCGTTCGCGCGTTTGACACCAAAACGCCGTTTCAGTGCGTCTGTGCGCCTCGCGCACGTGACACCGAATGAGCCGCGCCGGCGAGAGAATTGTGCGTAAAAATACGCGGCGCGTCCTGCGGTGCCTGTTGATCCCGACGTGTCACACAGTTTCTGCCCACTGTTGCTATTAGGGGTAAATAATCAGCCGCCACCTGTGGCAAACGCACAAAGCGCGCCTCACATTCTTTTACAAAAAAAAAAAAAAAAAACCCGCGCGTCTCACGCTGGTTGCGCTCTGCCCGGTGAAATCCCCCCTTTTGTCCCCTCGCTTCTAATTATGCTGTTTGCTCTCCGACACCCAGAGCCGCTGGAAGAGGATGCCGCTACATTTGTTGTATTGTGTTGCATTAACAACGGGTCACTTGACAAAGGAGGCTGATGGTAACGCGTCAATGGCGGAGAAGCGCTTCCCTGATTGGTTTCCATTCAAGCCGCGTCGCTCCATTCCCGAGAGATGCTGCATGTTTTTTATTTATTTTATTATTTTTATAAATGTTCCAACAGGGGCCAAAACATCTGTGCAGGCAGCGTCACTGATGGGCTCGTTTTTGTCTGTTAATGCACTTTGGATTAGAGCAGCTCATGATTTAGAGGCGACCTATTTCCCGATTAAAAGGCCTCGAGTTGTTAGATTTCTAATATTTTAGGATAATGAACACGCGCCGAACGTCACACTCCGCAGGTGCGTTTCCCAGCGGTGTTTGTTGAAGCGGTTTATTCTCTCTCTCTCTCTCTCGGCGGACAGAATGAGGTCAGCAGCCGCGTCCCAGTCAGCAATCCTGCTCAAGGGCACTTGGGCAGCGGATGTTTTAAAGGCAGATAGCGTCTGAATGACCCCTGCGCCCTTTGTTCTCTGCTTGAGCCAAAATGTAAATACATAATATCGGCAAAGGGTGGAAATACTCGTCCTCCCTTAAGGGTTTCCCGCTCGTGCACCGCTGTGGCTCTATGAAGGCACGTGCGCGCGTGTGTAATATACACACACCGTCGTGCGACACGTTCGATGCCCGCAGGCAACACTGACCCGTCGGGCTCCTTTTAGACTGAATGAACCCGAGGAAATTGCCTGAAGTCAGTTTTTCTTTTTTTCTTCCAAAAGTTAAATGTGAAAAATATCATTTTGAAAATGTTGTTATTCGTTGAAAAAATGTCATTTATATGCAGGACATATATATATATATATTACTTCCTGTGGCAAATCTGGCAAAAAAGGTTTGTAAAAACGCCCTTTTCCCCGCAGTGCCGACCTCTGAGCCTAAAGGCCAAAGGTTTCTGAAGCTGCTTAGAAAACACTTTTCTCACACAGAAATGTTCATCTTTACGTTTCTTACTCTTAAAACCTATTCTTTCTATTTTGAGACTCATTTTCTGCTCATTGGCTTTCTATTTTCTTGCAGTGCTTTTCGTTGTGCGTTAAAGGCTTAAATGTAGAGCAGGTCAACTTACAGCGGCGGAGCCCATCGGTTGGTCCATTCGAGGTCAGCAGGATTAATCTGCATCCTTAAATCCTCTTTTGTCGGCTGACTTCTGTTCATCAGCCTTCATTTGTCTATTTAGGACATTTATTTGTTGAGACAGAACCGTCCTGCAGTCAGGAAATTAAAGTCTCCCAAAACAGAATTTAAGGACCTAAATAGTTATTTTATGTTTAATGTGAGGCTGAGGAGGATTGTGATCACAAAGCATCAAATGCTGTGCATGAATTGAGTTATAGCCATTGTTTTAATGAAGTCCGTCACAATGAGCACATTTTATTTGTAGCCATCTAAATACTCATGAATCTTTTGAAACACTGTTGTTATTTTACTGTAGTTACTCTGCTGCGTCCTGAAATCCCAACTGGAACCGTCGAAGCCCCCGCCTACTGCCGTCCTCCCCTGAGGACGCGAGACATGTTTCTCTGCATTATTGACAGGTTCAGCTAAGGTCGTGGAGGGAAAGATGTGTTTACTTTGAGTTAAGATCCAGGTGAAAAATTTGGATATTTCTGTTTGACATTTCTAACAACATGCGGAAGCCACCGAAAACATGCTGTCAAAATGAAGCAGAAAGCAGCGAGTGGAAAAGCATGTTTGCTGAGTTAAAAGGGTTTGACTTGTTTATCAATCATTTAAAATCCCCTTTTCACTTACTTTGAATGAATCCCAGAGCATATTACCCACAATGCACTTCAGGCCAGAGGGAGAGTGCTGCTGCAGATCGAGTGATGTGGTTTGTTGTGTGACGGTCCGGATGCTGCTCCACCTCTTGCACCACTTCTTCATGTCACCAACACGGCAGCATGACTGTTTAGGCTGAATGAATATTTAGCGGAGAAGTTTGGGTGGGCCGGTCCGATTTAGAGACATCTTTACCGAGTTTCCTCCCCTCCAAAGGAAGGCGTTTGACCTCTCTGCAGGCCTGCTGTGTAGAACATGATATCATTTGCATGGATACTTTTATCCCTTTTTTTTAGCACCATTGCAGCAAACATTGCTGTGTTGGCCTCAGTGGGGAAACCCCTCTAGGAGCAAAACCCAACCGTGGCAGCGTTGGTGTCGTTGTCTCCTCACGCAGCCACACAGAACCTCGTCTTGTTGGGCAAAAATGATCAGCCTGACAATTTTCTTTTGGAATCAGAGTGAATGTTTTTTGCGTCGAGCAGCTGAGGACGGAGAGAGAGAGAGAGAGAGAGAGAGACGTGTTTACCGCTATGATTAATGCACGCGCACACGGCGAGAATGTCATCGCGCCGTACAACCGGCCAGCTGTGAGCACACGGAGCGCACGCATGCACGCCAGCCGAGTGCTGCGATGGTACGTGGTCTCGATCGCAGGAATGCCCACGTTCAGCGCCGCCGCCGCCTCTCATCCACGCCGGCCTCTGACAGAATACCGACAGGAGGGCTGGAAATGTAGGTCAACTAAAACATTAATAGCAGACCGGCTCAAGTCAAAGTCCAAATGTGTGGAGCGTCCGGGGCTTCTGCGGCGAGTAAACAGTGACTAATCTAGCGATTCCCAAACACTGGGTCGGGACCCCGCTGTCGGGTCGCAGGAGATTTCCTTTGGGTCGCCTAATGATTTTTGCAGAATTCCTTCCACATTCAAACATTTGGGCCACACGTTGGGTTTCTCCTGAACAGTTGGGGCTCACATGTTGTGTCTAAAAGTCATCCCTTGTTCCAAGGCGCTTGGGAGGTTGCGGCCCTCTGCACGTTTGCTGTTACTAAGCAACCAAACAGATGGAAGAAATTATCTGCTTGTTGTGATTCATGTTTTCTCGTGACATGACCTTCAACAAAAGTTGCAAAAGAACTATTTTTATCTCCGGGCGCAGCTGTCGCGTCAAGATGTTATAAGTTGACGCGGAAACGGCAGAAAGGACGGTCAGAAACGTTAATTTGCGCAGGAATAATGCTCTTATGATTTAAAGATGAGGCCTAATGTGAATTTGGTGTGCCATTTTTGATTAAAAGGGTCCCGGGAACAAAAAGACAAAGCACAGTGGGTGATTGAACAGCAGAATGCCCCCCCCCCCCCCCTTTGGCTCTGAAAACCTTTGCTTATAAGTCAGCTATTGACTTAAGTTTAAATACTTAACCCCCTGTCACCACACTTGTAGTCATTATCAGAGGCCTCTTGCAGGAAGTAAATGGCTCCCATTCACACATCTCTCAGAACTGCTCAGCTTCCATTAAAGTAATGCACAGTTATGGCGTTATTACCTGCAAGGCTGACTTTTATATTGTAGAATCGATGATCGAGGGTGTTTTGTGATGCTTTTGGACGCATCAAGGTAACGAGGGCCCTCTTTAAAAATGCAGTGCGTCCTTGTGCACATTCCAGTGTATCGCGAATGTGACAAAAGTCACGTGACCCCATCTGGGCCGTTCAGTCAATCATCCCCCAGCAAACGGACTGACTCCGGAGTGTTTTGCTTGAGACTTAAGTGGCCCAACCTGTTTTTGTGTGTAGCTTTGGTCTCTTGTAATAACACACACACACACACACTGAGAAAGGGGCACAGAATCTGTCGGGAGCAGTTAAACCCAACAAGCTTCTTCTTCTCCATTACAGAGCTGCGGTGCATTTATAATTTAGGCATCTGGTTGATGATCTTGTGAGGCTCACTGAGTGTGCGTGCAGCTGTACTAATGACAGAAACCATTCAACACGCCATATTTTTTAAAAACCTTTCCTATCCGTCCCCATTTGAAACCTTTTTTGATACATTTAGATAAATATGGGATATTGGTCAGTAATATAGCAAATACAATGGTTAAGTCTTATTTGCTCATTTTTACAGGATCTAGTGGCTCTTTTGGGGTGGGTGGTTAGTGATTTGGGCAACAAAAGCAGAAACCCATCCACTGTATCACCGCAGAAGCAGAAGTCTATGTCAGATATCTATTATTTGTAAAAATAAAAAAAAACAGTAATAAAATGTCATATGTACCACGAGGGATAGTGGGAGTAAATGTTTTGGTTGAAGTGGCCCTTTAAATTTATTTCACATTGACTGCGTCAATAAATAGTGAAGAAAACAAAGCTCCTTAATACTGGCTTTTAAAAACTCAGTCAATTCATACTCTCTATTGTTTTTTTACTGTCAGCTGATGTAACACAGTGAGAAAAGTAAAAGTGTTTCCTCTAAAAAACACCAAAAGAACCACGTGGACGCCCCCCCCCCCCCCCCCCCCGTGCGTCATAGAGAGGGAGGGGGGGGGGCTGCGCGTTAAGCGTAAATAAGGATCGTGTGAGTCACTG